ATATTGCCCCTAAACCCTGCAGCCCCGAAAGCTTAAGCCGAGAGCCCAGGATATTGCCCCTTTGCAATGGCAGCCTCCTCGCACTACACCGGCTCTTGGGCCCATCGCTATCCTATCTCCCCGACATCGGAGCGATCGTAACCGCATCCCTGGGTCGGTTGCTTGGCAGCAAAGTAAAGTCTATGCGAAGAATTGAATGGTCCCTGTTATTATTATTATTGTTATTATTATTATTATTGTTGTCGTCAATATTATGGTTCGTTACTATCAGTGCTACATCATCTTTGTTATTGTTATTGCTACTGTTGCTCGTACTAGTCTACATAGGGTTATTACTAGTTTCTACATAGTTTTCCATACTCCCCAAAGTCAAACCTTATTTCTCGTAGGAAACTGGACAAGCCAGGTTGGAATGCAAGCTGGACCCCGCAAAGAGTGGGGGCACGACGGCAAAAGGAAGCCACCTCTAGCCCAAAAGACTTCCAGCACTGGATCGTGTCTATTCGGGTTTACCTATAGTCTCCATTGTAGATTTTGGTTTAACCAGTTATATACTAAGGATTTTTATAAGGTATCCCCAAAAAGGAAGTACAATGGAGACTACAGGTAGGGTGTCGGGCTCGGCTTTGGTCCAGAATTATACACCCCCAAAGAAATAATCATTAAGGCCCCTACATTAGGGTGTCTGTATGTTTAGGAGTTTCAGTTTCGGAAAGTAAAGGACCTCTTATTGGCCCCCCAGATTTTGCGCCACATCCGCTGAATAGTAGGATCCTGATGACAATGCAGGGACTCCCAAATAAGGTATGACAGAGGTCGGAATAACAATTGTTCATAATTCCTGCCTGTATTCCCATACTTGGAGTATCACATTACCGTGTACGCCGAAGCCTTATTCCAATTATGAAGGCCCCTGCATTTGCTCTGCGGCGTGTTTTGGGCCGAGCTGTTTGGCTCAATCTCGCATTGAGGGATGCAGTGGTAAGGTAGTGGTAGCTCGGCAAACGCTTTATTGTTCTGTAGGGGGCTATACCGTATCCTATGGTTTTGTAGGGTTTTCCAAAAGCCTTAGAAGGGGGCTTTATAAGAGTTTCGCAGGGTTCTGTCGGGGATTTGAAGTTTGTTGAGTGCATCACTAAGTTTTGAACGCCTGTAATCATACAACCACCCTGGCATAAGGCTTTGGGTGGGATGTCCCGAATGTCGCCTTATTCATTATTGACTTAAGGAGGGGCTTTATGGGATATCCTGACAGTGTAGTTAATGTCTCTGCTTTTTCTGGCGATCTCACGGGATTGCGGTAACCCTAAGCCGGTAACTTTTACAGATGTACCGGAACCCTAAAGGCTCTAAACCCCGACCCAAAAGCCTGAACTTATCATAGGGGCCGAAATAATTACCACTACTATTTTTTGGGGTCCTCATTATAATTATCGCATAAGATATACACCAAAACCCTTATTCTAAAATTACATAAGGCCCCTCCATTAATTGTGTTTAAAGTTTAAAGCCCAGGCTTCGGGGTTTAGGATTTCTGGTAAAGCCTGTATAATTACATAAGGCCCCTAGACCCTAAACCCTCATCGTAGCCCCTTATAGAACCCCTTAAGGAACCTTTAAAGGAACCCCAAAAACCCTACTCCAAAATTACATAAGTAAGGCCCCTAAACCCTAAACCCTTATGGCAGCCCTTATAGAACCCTTTAAGGAACCCTTCAAGGAACCCCAACATCCCTATTTTAAAATTACATACTAAACCCCAAACCCGAAACCCCTAAACCCGAAACCCCTAAACCCGAAACCCCTAAACCCTAAACCCTACGCATTCAGAGCTCTGTTTGGGCCCTGAGTCCCTTCTGTTAGGGTTTAGGGTTTAGGGGTTTAGAGGGAAGCAAGGGCAGCAGTCGAGTCCCTTGTGAACAAAGGGGTTTAGGGTTAGGGTTTTAGGGTTTAGGGTTGTTTAAGGTTTAGGGTTTATGGGTGTTCCCAATTCTGCTTCATTTAAGGAAGGCAGCTTCTACATGATTCTTATAGAGCTTCAAGCTCATTCAAGGAATGCAGCTTCTATGTAATTTTGTTTAAGGCTTCAAACCTGAAGCGCTGAAGTGTTCCGGACTTGAACTGCGGGTTCTTGGGCTGTCTCTGAGCAGGGCTCACTGGACTTGTTCTGGTTCTGAAGGTATGTTTCCAGGATTCTGAAGGCATTTAACTTACTTGCCATGGCACCCCCATAGCCTGTGTGGCATAATCATTGGTCTCATAACTAGACCCTAAGCCCTAAACCCTAAAACCCTAAACCCCTAAACCTCGTGGAACTTCATTCGAAGTCGGGGTAGCTGTTGGACATTTCTGAGTCTCCCCGTTTACAGGCGGCGATTTTTGCTGCCGGCCTGCCCCTGAACAGGACGGGTCTTGTTTCTCTTTGTGCAATAGAGGCATACCTGAGAAATCAGCTACCTGAACTCTAGTTATCCCTCATTGGTCTGAGTACATGTACACACAAAATGTTATGTGTGTGCGTATGTATTCTGACATATAATTTATCATATAATCATGTCGTTTGGTATGCCTTGTGGTATGTATGTTGGTATGTATGTATGTATGTATGTATGTATGCATGCATGCATGCATGCATGCATGCATGCATGCATGCATGCATGCATGCAGGTATGTGTGTGTGTGTACATGTGTATATATGTATAT